CAAGTAGCTGGGACTACAGGCACCCGCCACAACGCCTGGCTGTTTTTTGGTTGCAGCCATCATTGTTGGTTGGCGGGTCCAGGCTGGATTTGAACCTGCCAGCTCAGGTGTATGTGGCTAGCGCCTTAGCCGCTTGAGCCACAGGCGCCGAGACGACTCTGTTTTCTTTAAAAAAAAAAAAAAAATTGGCCAGGGGCAGTGGCTCTCACCTGTGTAATCCTAGCACTGTGGGAGGCTGAGGCTGGTGGATTGCTTGAGCTCATATGTTCGAGGCCAGCCTGATCAAAAGCAAGACCCTGTCTCTACTAAAATAGAAAAACTGAGGCAAGGGGACCGCTCATCAAGAGGCCTAGCTGTGTTAAATAATTTACATAAGTCGTACTGACATTAAGAAGGTGGAATATGGCCAGGTATGGTGGCTTACACCTGTAATCCTAGCACTCTAAGAAGCTGAGAAGGGTGGATTTCCTGAACTCAGGAGTTCCATACCAGCCTGAGCAAAAATGAGACCCTGTCTCTAAAAAAATAGCTGGTGCTGTGGCATGAAGCTGTAGTCCTAGCTACTCAGGAAGCTAAGCCAAGAGAATCATTTGAGCCCAAGAACTGCGAGCTATGCCATAGCACTGTACCAAGGGCAACAAAATGAGACTCAAAAAAAAGAACAAGTGGAACATACGTTTAGATTTCAAAAATATCAGCCGTATCTCCCATGCATTGAGCCTTGCCTTCTGGTACACCAAGGTCATTGATGTTTGTGGCCAGATAATTCTTTGTTATAGGGGGCTTTCCTATACATTGTAAGATGTTGAGCAGCATTTCTGACCTCTACCCACTAAATGTCAGTAGTACCTTCCCACTCGTGACAACCAAAAAATATCTCCAGACATTGCTAAATGGCCCTTGGAGGTGAAATAACCCTGGTTGAGAACCACTGAATTAGGCTTATATGCTACATATTAACATACATTGTCACATTTTATCCTCTTAGATTTTCCCTTATCAAGTGCCATGAGAGCAGGGTCTTTGATAATGTTCCTCACTGTAGACTTCCAGCGCCTGTCAGTGTTTCAGGGACATAGTAGGCACTCTTTAAATATGTCGAATGAATGAGGTGGGTGCTTTTATTAACCCTATCCTACAGGTTAGGAAATGGAGGCAAAGAGAATTTAAAGAACTTGGGACTTGGCCAGGCACATTGGCCCTCACCTGTTATCCTGGCATTCTGGGAGGCTAAGGCTGGAGGATTACTTGAGTTCAGGAATTCGAGAATAGCCTGAGCAAGAGCAAAACCATGTCTTTAAAAAAAAAAAAAAAATAGAAAAATTAACCAGGTGTGGTGGCTCATGCCTATAGTCCCAGCTACTGGAGAGACTGGAGCAGGAGGATTGTTTGAGCCCAGAAATTTGAGGTTACAGTGAACTATGGTGATCCCACTGCACTCTACTCAGGACAACAGAATAAGACTGTCTCTTGTTTTAAAAAAAGAGAGAGAGAACCTGGGACTCAAATTCAGGTGTGTCTGCCTCCAGGGTGCTTAACTACTATGCTTTGCTTTAGGATCACATACTGATTTTCATACCAGTCAACCAATTCTGATTCAAATCATTAGCATGGCAATCCAGGTTTGCAGGATAATAATGAGACAAAGAAGGGTAACAAAGTGGTTAACCCTTGTGAGCTAGAATTGGAGTTGTGTTACCACGATTCCTAGGACCTATGCTATGCTTATT